CATCCAGGCAAGTCAGCGAAAGGAAAAAGATTTTTTTTGTCTACCCACAAGTTGTCTTAATGGGGCGGGGGAAGCAGTTTGTAAGGAGGAAGGTCAGAATCGCCCTCTGCGACTCCCGCGCGAATTACGGCTGATGGCGCCGCGGCGGCTGCAGGCGGCGGGACGGCTGCTGCACGAGTCGGTCGCTCTCTCCCCCGTCCTCGCCTTCTTCAGCAACGCCTTGAGCTGAGGAGTCGGCGGCTCGCGCCGAGAAGAGCGAGGAGCACCCCCTCCTCCTCCACCCCTTTGCCTTCAAACTACCTGCCGCTCGCCCGTCTATACACACTGCTACCTCGACGCAAGCTCACGTACCCTCTCCCTGTCGCCCGTATCTCCGTCATGGCATGCGTACTCCGGCATGAGCCCATGCAGTGCAACGCATGAAGGCATGATCGCGCCGCGCGAGGAGTTGAACTCGCGCGGCGGGTGGTGTCCCTCGCATGCAGTGTTCTCATCGCGCCATCTCTCTCGCATGTCGTTGGTCTCCCCCGAGCAGCCGAGATGTTGATACCATTGTGGCAGCCTTGTTTTTTATATATTACGTCACCAAAACACAAATTATTTTCTTCTCTTTAGATGGGCTTGTATTTATAGAATTCTTCTCTTTAGGGAGGGTGGTACCTTTTGTGAAACTGAAACGCGGAACCGAACGCGATCTGTCTGGTGTCTCGCGTTCCTGGTCAACGCTTGCGATTCAGCTGTCGTCGCGCGCCGCCGCTGGATGATCTTGCTCAGCTCGCCGAGCTCGACCTGAACGGTCAGCGGCGCGACCGCTGAATCGCAGCCGTTCGTGCTGCACGCATGCATCGTTGCAGTTACTTCCCCGCTCCGTGCGTGAAATCTTTTGCGCCTCTCGACGAGCTGGGGGGGGGGGGGGGGGCCCCCCCCGGGCGTACTCGGTGAAAGTCCCCCGCTCCCGTAACGGGGGAGGCATTCCGGGGAAAGTCGAACTCCCGATATCGGGCCGGGTGGGGGGGTTCCGGCTCCTAACCAAAAAGGGGGTCTGTTCCCCATGACTCGCGTCAAAAAGCCCTACCTACCTACCTACCCCCAGGCCGGGGCTCGAAAGGAAAAAAGACGAATATAGGGGATACCTACCTGTTGCAGGACCCTCTGGGGCGGTCAAAACCGGACCTACCTACCTATTGCATAGGGTGTCACCGTGACGCAGACCCCCTATCTGGCTAGGAGCCGGAACCCGGAGGCACCGCCGAGCCATGTCATCGCCTGCTAAGCGCCCGCTGAGCCGACAGCTCCAACAACGGCGCGTCCCCTCGCCACGCATCGCGCCTCCTCCTCCTCCGCCAGTGGCGGCGGCGGCTCCAGCACCTCTCGATCGGTTCCACTTTCTCCGTGGGTTGAACAATCAGAACGAAGTGATCAAGGCGTGTATGCCGTTGACCGACGAGCAGCTAAAGGCGATTGAGCAGGCCCGCTCGCCGAGTGCCATCGCCGAGGACGCGCAAGGCGGGCGTATCAACCTGCTGCTGGCAGCCGCCGCGTCGGGCAAGACGACGACGATGCTCGCGCTGATCGAGGTGCTGCATGCGCTCGGCCACGGCTCACGGGGCGGCACCTACACGCTCTACGCCGTGTTCAACGCGAACGCGAGGGGTGACGCCGACAAGAGGATGCACAAGCTGTCGGCAGGTGCGAAAAGGTCGGTGGACTGTCGCACTACGCACTCGGCGGCTCAACACTGCACGCCGGAGCTGAAGAACAACATCCAGTTCCCCAAAAACTCGGCGCGCCGCGAGTGGCGCTGTCCGGAGATGGGGGGCGGAGCGATCGAGAAGTACGTCCGGCGAGTCTGCGGTGACGAGATCCGCGAGCACGTCATGAGCGGGAGCTCGCCGCCGAGCACCGACAAACAGCGGCAGCGCGACGAGGAGCTCTGCGCGTTTTGGATTTACAAGACGTGGCTCAACTGGGTGCAGAAGGTGCCCGAGTACGGCGGGCGGCAGTACGGCCGATGGCGTGTCTTCACACTTGTGGGCTTGAATAGGCGGGCTGCCTCGGGGCCCTCGCCCCGGCCAACATCGACGCCTCCACCCGGATCGGCAAGCTGACCTACTACCCGTGCGTCAAGAACTGGACCGGCGAGGGCGGTGAGGAGGGGCGGCGGAGGCAGCGGCTGCCGGGCTGCTTCCCGGGCACCTTCTACACGGCGTGCGCCGTCAAGCTGTGGCACGCGATGATGGCGGAGCGGCTCTTTGTGACGCACGACGCCTACCTCAAGTACGCGCAGCTGTCGAAGCACCCCTTCGGCTGGTTCGACGCGCTCCTCCTCGACGAGAGCCAGGACCTGACCGAGTGCCAGGTGGAGCTCCTCGTCGTGAACCAGCCTCAGGCAGACATCTTCGTGGTGGGCGACGCGGTGCAGTCGCTCTACTCTTGGCGCGGCGCGGCACCCAAGCAGCTGCGGCAGCTGCGGCAGCGCGTCGCGCCTCGCGCCGTCAAGGATGATCTGAGCATGACGCGCAGCTTCCGGTTCGGGCCCGGCATCGCGCGCATCGCCAACCACTTCCTCTTCCTCAAAAAGCACAGCCGGCAGCACAGCTTGTGGCACCACTACACGATCAGCGGCGCGGGGAAGCTGCCGGTCCTGTACGTCGGCGGCGAGCCGCTGAGCGGGCGGCGGACTGTCGTCGGCCGCTCCAACGCGGGCCTCCTGTGCGAGGCCTTCGCGCTGCTGTCGGCCGACCCGACGGTCAAGGTTGCGCTGCTCGGCCCCAAAGACACCACCTACGAGAGGTTCGAGGGGATCTGCGACGATGTGCTCGTGCTGCAGCCGCACTTCAAGGCGGAGGACGGCTTCTCCTTCAAGGGCGCGCAGTACGACTCGTGGGAGGACTTTGAGCAGGAGGTCGAGGACCGAGAGATGCCGTACGGGCCTCACCTCTCTCTGCTGCGCAAGTTTGCCAGCGGCGGCGACGAAGGCGGCGGCGGCGGCGGCGGAGGCGGAGGCGGCGGCGGAGGAGGCGGCGGCGGCGGCGGCGGCGGGTCTAGCGGCGATGGTGGAGGCCAATTGGCGGAGTTGGTTGACCTGTTTCGGGAGCACGTGTTGCGCCGGCGGCTGGCGGAGGACGAGTGCGAGGTGCTGCTCACGACGGCGTGCGGTGCAAAGGGCCTGGAGTGGGACAATGTCAAGGTGCAGCCGAGATTCATCCGAGATCGAGGCCGGTATCATCCGAGATCCAGCCCCGCCAGCCGCGTTGCAATCCCGCGCAGGTGCTCGATGACTACGCCAAGCTAATGACCTTCGAGCGCGTGCCGGAGGAGGAGCTGCAGCAGGGCGGCGAATACGCGTCCATCCAGGCGGAAGGCGCGTCGCCACATCGTGGCGCGCCGATGCGTTTCTGCTTGCCCGGGGACTGGAAGGGTCTAGAATCGCAGAAACGTCAGCGCAGCTGGAGCTGCCGTCTCTTGATCTGTCTAGCTGTGAGCAGGCGACGAGCTCAACTCGTGGTACGTCGCCGTGACGCGGGCGCGGCAGCGCCTGCAGCTGCCCAGCCGGTTCTGGGCGTTGCATGACGCTGTGTGGGGCGGTGGAGACTTCCGCCCGGACCCATCCGAGGAGAGCGCGCCTCAGTACACCGCGGAGGAGGTCGAGGGCATCAATGCGCTCCTCGCCAAGATGCGTGGCGCGCTCCCACCAGCCGGCGCCGAGATGGAGGACGAGCTCAGCCAGGGCAGCAGCGTGGCGACGGCCGCCCCCTCCGCCCACGGCACCCCCTCCTCGTTGCCCTCCTGCTCCGCCGTCTCGCCAGCAGGCTCGGCGCTTCGAGGCCTCGCGCTTGGTACGCCCGACGCAGCACCATCGGCCCTCCGCCGAGAGGATTACGAGCCCGCCGACGGCCACGACGCGGAGGGCGAGGCTGCTCTCGACGAGTTGCTCAACGAAGGAGCGCCGTCGCCGCCGACAGCCCGCACGCTCCGCTTTTCGGACGGATAGTGATTGTGCCAGACTGGAGAGATAGTTGACTGTACTTTTGTGTGACGTGTCAGTAAGCGTATCGGTGAATCGTCTAATTTTGTTTTCGCGCTCCGCCTCTCGTGACTCGTCGCCGCGCTCCGGGGTGCGAGAGGTGTATACAGCAAAGCTTCAGCCGGAACCCGGTTTTTCCCGCGGGCGCCTGGCGCGTGGGCTGGGGCTCTCACGCCCCGCGAGATCGCCACCTCTCTCACTCTCTCGCTCGGCTCTCACGGCTCTCGCGGTCTTCATGTGTGTTTCCGTGTACCGCACAGGGCTCGGGGGGGGGGGGGGGGCTCTTCTCTCTTTCAGTGTGGATCTTACGAACATTCCCGGAGGAGGAAGAGTGCTGACAGGGTTTGCGATTAGGAGCGACCCCGAAGGGTTTCTCGGGGTTAGTACACCACTATTAAGCTGTGGGAGGGGTCCCGTACCATGCGGAATCGGCCCTATCAAGTGCTCAAGTGCTCAAGCTGTGAAAATGGCAGTTGCGCGCGACATTACGAATCGTGCGTCCCTTGCTCCGACATGATCCATTCGAGGCTGCCAACCCCTCTCCTCCAGCTTGCTCCCGTTCTAGCGGGCTTCCTCCTTGGGGTCGGCGCTCTTTCTTGGCTGGCCGTGGCTGGGCGGATGTGGGGGGCCGACTCCACGCTCGCGGAGAGCTTAGTGTCAGCGGAGAAGGGGTGGGAGGACCGGCTGCTCGTACCGGTGGAGAAGGGGTGGGAGTGGTGGGACACCGTGCTTGCCGCGGCCGACCAGGTGGAGGCCTCAGCGGCGCTGCCCTCCTTGCCTCGCCCTCCTCCCTGCTGCCTGATCCTCTCATCTCCGCTTCATCGCCTAACTCGCATTGCCGCCCCTCCCCAGGTCCACGACATCGGCCAGGGGATGGGGCTTTGTCGCGGGCATAATGACTCGTGCCACGTGTGGGACTGCTGCCTCGAGACAGGCGAGGACGACCCCTTGGGACAACGCAAACTCTGGTGCAATCCCTTTGGGGGCGGCGAGCAGGAAATGTTAGTCGGCTCGGTGGGAAAGGTGCATGCTCGCACATAACAGGCCGACTGGCCCCGCACCGCTCCCTCTCCATTGATGTCGGACCGCCCTAGGCGCGTTGCCGCGTCTGCGATGCGGTTGAGGGCGAGATTGGCAAGGACACCATCACCACAGTCAATAGCAGCGGCACTTTTACGACGGTGGTGCAGTGCGATGTCAGCAAGAGGAGCGCGCGCGGTAAGGACGGCGCCGCCGAGCTGATGGCAAGCGTGGCGACCTTGGGGGAGGCGGCGACGGCGGTTGGGCCTCAGCCAGCGATCACTTCAGGGCTCCAGCACTGCAAATAGGCGAAACAGGGCGCGGTGGCGGGCTCCATAGCGCAGACAGGGGCGAGCCCGATTATCAGCAGCTTCACCGCCGCGGCCGCCTCCCCGGCTCCGGTCGACGAGGAACTGGTGTCAGCCCTGCTGGCGCTGCAGTACGAGGGGAAGCCCATCTTCGCGGCAGCTGATGCGACGGCGGTCGCGACGGCATTGGGTAAGGACGGCGGTACGTTCGCTGACCTGATGGACCCCGACATGATCGAGGACGACGATCTGGTGGATTATGTGCCCTTGAAGATGCAGCACAACAAGATACTCAAGCTCCGGAGCCCGCCCCCCCCCGCACCCCCCCTCGAGGCAGCAACAATGCTACGCTAGGGGACAGCAACGCGCAGGCATGCGTCGGGGTGTGTCGACTGCCGTGTGTCGCCGTGTGCTGCGCGCGTTTCGTTCTTTCGAGTCACACAGGTCGGCGTCCCGGACCCACCGTATCTCCATCTCGCGCGGTCTGAGTTTGACTGTTGTAGGAACCCTTCCTACTTTAAACCCGTGTGTGTGTCTTATTCGTTATTGCCAAAGCAATATTGTATTCAAGACGGCGATTGCCTTTTATTGGGGGGCAGAGAGGTCCCATGGGTAGCAGGACCTCGCACTCTGACAGTCTCTGACAACTGTGCAACCCACCAGCACCACACCACACGCACACTGAGAAGAGAGTTTTTTCCCTTTCTTGCTGGTCATGAAGGTCTCGCACGGGCGCGCTTGCTACTCACGCCGCCTCCGCCGACGCTCGTCGCTCGCCTCCGCTTGCCGGCTCGAGTCGCGGCTTGGGGCACTGGCGGTGCGGCAAGCGCCTCCCCGTGCGCCTTTTCAAAGGTGTTGTAGTGGACCTGTTCACAGCTGAAGGCGTGAACCTGGCGCTGTTTACGCTTGCCGCGCGTCGGTCTGCGCGCCGGCGACACGTACGCCAAAAACGCCTACAATGGTGGGTCAGTTACGTGTGTGTGTGTGTGCGAGAGAGAGAGAGAGAGGGAGAGAGGGGGGGGGGGAGGGAGGGAGGGAGGGAGAGGGAGGGAGGGTGAGGGTGAGGGAGAGAGAGAGAGGGAGAGGGAGAGGGAGAGAGAGGGAGAGAGAGAGAGAGAGGGAGAGAGAGGGAGGGAGGGAGAGAGAGAGGGGGAGAGGGAGAGGGAGGGGGGGGGGGACGGTGCGGAGGCCTGCTTGTCCATCTTTTGCTCCGAGGGCGTGTAGACGAGGTAGGGGTTGAACTCGGTCGAGGTCACCACGTGCAATGACGCGCCGAGCGCCTGGGCCGCGGATTGCACCGCTCGACGAGCCCGACCTCGCGAGGCAGCGCCGTGCCTCGCTTCTGCCGACCACGGACTCTCTCTCGCGCGATCTCGCGCGATCTCGCGCGATCTCGGGCGATCTCGGCGAGCGCCTCGCTGGCAGCGCGCAGCGTGAGCTCGTCGCCCCACGTGCGGTTGCGCTGCATCCGGCGCAGGTAGGCTCCAAAGTCGTCGCAGAAGCCTAGGCGGGTCGCAAAGAGGTGAGTGGGCTCACGCCAGGGCGGCTCGCTCCCCGGCCCGCAGAGCGTTGCACAGATGGAGGAGGCCGTGCTCGACCACGGGCGGGTGCTACATCTCGGCTACGTCTCGCCGGAGAAGTCCTCCGCATGGGACCTGAGGTGCTCGACAGCGGCGCGGCGCACGAACGCGTGGTGCTCCTCAGTCCCGTATAGCGAGCGGGATATGGACCTGAATTGGCAATTACCGTCGCCAGCAATACGCAGCATCTGCATGCCGTACAGTCTGAGCCGCTGCCGCAGCCGCTCTGCCGCGCCGGGCGGCCGTCTCGCATGCCGCCGGCTGCTCGCTCGCCGCTCGGCCGCCCGGAAAGCCCAGCGCTTGAGCACCCAGATGGCACGGAATGCGCGCGCAAAGACTATCAGCCGTAAGGGCGGGCCGTCCACAGATAGGGCCGCGACGGTGGCGGCGTCGGCGGTGTGGTCGGCAGGTTGGGGATGATCGCTGCTGGATGGAGAGGTACACGAGAGCTGCCCCCTCCCCCCCCATGCGCGCTTCTGCATGCGCTTCTGCTTGTCGGCCGATGCGCTTTGGTTTTTTTTCCGGTAAATACGGTGTCCTGTTGATCTGCTAACACCACCAAACAAAGGCTTTGCGGCAAAGGCAAAACAAAGGTATTGCTAAAATCTCTCTCTCCCAAAGGCGGTCGCACAGCACGATTCACACCAAAAGAGATAAACGGACACACTCGGTATGCTGCGCGCTGTTTCGCCAGTACGCTTGTGCCTATACCGGCAGTCAGAAAGGGTTGATTGATGAGAACTTGAGAAGCAAAAAACTCGAAAAAAATAAATAGACATGCATGTCCGCCTTGCTTTGTTTCATAACATCGAAGGCTAGCTCAAAAATCACCTACGGGTATGTTCGTAAGAGCCACATACACTGAAAAATAAAAACGAAGGGAGGGATGGGAGGACGGCACGCCGCCACCACACAGGTTTTCTGTCGCCGTGCACTTTCGAAGCCGTCCTTTGACGCACACAATAATTTAATTTTTTTCACATATTGCAATACGGAAGAATTTTGCCGTGCCTCGGGGACGAACGTCGGCACTCAGGGCCATGCCCCACACGTACCGTGTCCGCCTGATATCGTCCTCAGCAAGTTGGACCCCACTGCCGCTGCCTCAATGCTGATCGCACCCCACCGAGAGCGCTTGCGCCCTCGCAATCGGCTCGGTCTTGCCGCACTTGCAGTATGCGTCGCATCCGTCGCCTTCTCCCTCGCCTCGATTGCGCATTCTCCAGCAGCGCTGTATCTCCCGCCTTGGCCGGCAATTCAGAGCGCGTTCGTGGGTGCGTACTGCGCAGTCCTGAGGCGGTGCGAGGCGGTGGGCACGGTGGAGGCCCGCGATCTCGACGCGTCGTGGGATGTGCAGGCTGCAATGGACTTTGGAGTCGAAGCGTGCGACAACTTCTTTCAGCACAGCTGCGGCGGTGCGAGATTAGTCGCCGAGGTAGCATGCACACCGCAGGGTATGCAGCCGAGATAGCAGCCGATCACCGCGACATTTCTGCGCCAGGCTGGATCGAAGCGTCGCCAATTCCTGCGGACCAGAGCTCTTGGAGCGTGCTGGGGATGATGGGAGAGCGGAACACGCGGCGCCTGCGCACCATCCTGGAGGAGGTGCGGACCAACAGCTCTGCTCGACCGGAGCAGATGACCTCGAGCCAGCGGCTGGGCATCGTGTACGATTCTTGCTTGGCCCCCGAGTGGGCAGACGACGGCTTGTTGCCGCTGCAAAGGTTGTTCGAACTGGTCGATGGGATGTCTTCCATTGAGGAGGTTTTCAGCACCATCGCGACGCTCACTTTGGCGGGGCACATGGTGCTGATCGGCGGCGCTGTGGGCGCCGACATTGGCAACCCGAACAAAAACATCTTTTCTGTCTGGCAGGGGTCCGGCGGCCTCCCCGACGCGAGCTACTACCTCAAGAACGACAGCGAGTCGAGGGAGCTGCGGCAGGCGTATCGCGACCACGTGGCGACGATGCTGGATCTGCTCTCGATGCCGGATCCTGAGGTGGCTGCAGAGCATGTGCTGCGCCTGGAGACGAGGCTCGCACAGATCAGCATGCCAGCCGAGCTGCTCCGCGATCCTGACGCGACCTACAACAAGCTCGACCTGACAGGGCTGGAGGAGCTCTCGCCTGAGCTGCCCTGGGACAGGTACCTGCAAGTGCTGAGCGACGCGCGCTTCTGCGACCCCGCATGGAAGATTGGCCGCGACGCGGCGTGCCTCCCCCCCGCCTTCGGCCGAGCCTCCTCCCCGCTCTGCTCCGCTGGTGATTGCGCCACGCTTGAGGAGATCGATGTGAGCACGCCAGAGTTCTTCGAGAAGCTGCAGGCGGTGCTGCGCGACACACCGCTCGAACACATCAAGAGCCTCTTCCGCTGGCGCCTGGTGGTCGCGGCAGTCACTGGAGCAGCGAACGGTGTCTCATAAAAGCCCTCTGACTACAGGCACCTGGTGAACGCCAACGCCGAGATTTTGCCACCGGTTTTCGAGGAGGCTGACTTTGCCTTCTATGGCAAGCGGCTACAGGGCCTGGAAGAGCAGACGCCGCGCTGGAAGCGATGCACCTCTCTCGCGAGCGGCGCGCTGAGCGAGGCGCAAAGCGTTCCTGACTTCCTCGGAGCCCTCGCACAGGCACGTCCATAGTAAGCGGCATGCTGAGCGAGGAGCTCGGAAAAGTGTTCGTGGATCGCTTCTTTCGCAAGGACGCCAAGTCCAAGGCGGGCCGCTGGATCAGGGCGGGAGGTCCATGAGCGTGACATGATTGCGCGAGGTGCGGCCTCGATTGCCGTAGGCGATGGACTTGGTGACTAAAGTGGAGGCTGCTTTCGACGCCACCCTGCCCGAGGAGGAGTGGATGGATGACAGCAGCCGCGCGGCCGCCTTCGAGAAGGTGGCCGCTGTGCAAAACTTGATTGGACATCCGTCCGAGTGGACCGACTACGGCGACCTCCTCCTAGCCCCGAGCAAACTCGTCACCAACGTGATGCAGATCCGAACGTGGGGCGCGTGCAGAAGCATGCGTGAGTACGGGCAGCCGGTTGACAAGGACACGTGGTCGATGGGGCCGCAGACCGTAAACGCCTACTACTCGCCGCCACGCAACCAGATGGTCTCTTGTGGACGCAGAGGCCAGCCCTGTGAGGTGTGAGCATAACTATTATTCATGCGGCCGTTTATAGGTCTTTCCCGCCGCCATCCTGCAGGAGCCGATGTTCGACCCAGGGAGGTTGGCAGCACAGAACTTTGGCGCAATCGGCATGGTGATGGGGCATGAGCTGATGCACGGATTCGACGACCAGGAACAGCCTCCCCTGTAGCTAGTGCAAGTGCTCGTGGGAGAGAGCACCCGCCCCGCGAGCAGGGGCGCAAGTTCGACGCGCAGGGCCGCATGTCGCCATGGTGGAGCGAGTCTACTGTCAAGAACTTCGAGCAGCGCGCCAAACAGGTCGAGGGCCTCTCTCAGCCCGATTGAAATGAGAACAAGCCACCACGGCCCAATTGTGCACAGGTAAAGGACCTCTACGGCTCGATCGAGGTTCAGCCCGGCGTCAAGCTTAACGGCGACCTGACGCTGGGCGAGAATCTTGCCGACATGGGCGGGCTGAAGATGGCGTTCCGCGCATTCCTCCGGGAGCTAGACGAGACCGGAGTCCACCCGGACGACACTGCTGGGCACCATCTCACCCACCGCCAGCTCTTCTTCACCGCCTTTGCCCAAGTGTGGTGCGGGCACGCTCGCCCAGAGGCAGAGAAGCAGCAGGCGCTCGCACCAATCCGGTCCGTGAGAGAGGCAGCCTGTAGATCGCGTCGCTTGACGCCCCATTCCTGTCCGGGTAGGTGCTCACGGACCCGCATTCGCTGCCGCGAGCCCGAGTCAACACGCCCCTCGCCAATTTCGCGCCGTTCAGCGAGGCGTTCCACTGCGAAGCCGGGTCCGAGATGAACCCAGAGGCCAAGGTACTGCCCCGCCCCGATGCCCGATCGTGTGTGCGTTACAGTACCTCACCTCACTCTACCTTGGCTCCCCAGGTATCAGTTTTCCGCCGCGGTATCGGCGGGCCGCCGGTGCGGCGCTTCGGTGTGGCGCACCCGTGGCGGCAAGCCAGCTTAGAACTGTGAAGCGCGAGGCCGAGGGCGCGCTAGGGCCTCTCACTGGTGTGCGCAGCGCAACATTCCGTTTCGTGGACTAGAGTCGTACCTAGGTACGGGGTAGCGCTACAGCGCTAGCGGGAGGTGTACACAGCGAGGGTATGTATGTAACTGTAGAGACGATTTAGGTTTGGGGCAGCGCGAGTGGGAGAACTTTTCGGCGGTCGTGGAGGTCGTGGAGGTCGTTGAGTGGCGAGTCACGCTCGTGCGGACAGCATCGATGCCGTCGCCGGACGCGGCGGCGAGGCACACGGGCGCCGGCGTGGCGCGTCGGCAGGCCCACCACGAGCGGATGCGCGACGAGCGCGCTCGGGAAGCGGCCGCGGGCGAGGCGGAGCTTCCGCCGGAGGACGACGCGGTCGAGATGGCGAGCGCCGTCCACGTGCTGGACAGCGTGGGGGAGGTGGGCCCGAACTACACCCTGCTGCGCAGCAAGGAGACGAAGGCGAAGCGACGGAAGCGAAAGCGCGAGGATGCCAGGGCGGCGCTCGACGGCCACACTGTCCTGTCCACCGGATCGCGCCTCGAGATCTTCTGCGACAGCGAGCGGTGGTACCCTGCGACCGTCATGGCGCGGGAGGAGGACGGGGACGGACGGATCGTGCACGAGGTCGAGTACGACGGCTACCCGGATCGGCGGTGGTGGCACATGCTGGACGACGAGCGGTGGCGCGCCGTCCCAGAGCAGGCCGGCGCGGGCGCAGGCGGCGCTGCCGCAGACGGGGATGGGGATGCGGCGATGGACCGCTACCCGCAAAATGCCGATTTTGGCCCCAAAACAGCCTCAGACACGGCTCAGAGCCCCCCCAAAATGACGAATTCCACGGAGTTTCCCCGGGGTTTCCCGAGGAAACTAGAGGGTGTTGTAGGGAAACGAGCAGGAAACACGGCGAGAGGAAACCATAAAAAACAACTTTTTTTAACGTACACACCGCCATCACACACAAAATCAAAGCAGAAAAAAAAAACAGCGCTGAGAGGGGTTGTCTTTTATCACTGCCGGATCTCATATGCCTGGCGTATCCAGCCAGGAATGGACTCGGCTTGGCGAAACGCCTCTCCCGGATAGCCCCTCGGAAAGAGCATCGATCTGCGCGGCGCTATTGCACATCGCCGCCGGATCCACTCCGTGACATTGGGAACATGCATTCCAAACGCACCTCGGCCATGGTCGCTGAGGTCCCCGCTCCATCCCACAAACTCGATGCACTTCACGTGAAGGTTGATGAGGGCGGTATCTTGGCAATCAAGCCGAACTTTGCACGCCTGGGGAGACGGTGCTCTAAAAACGGTCTACTACTGGGCAGCGCGGACGACGCGGCTGACGGTCAGCTTACCTCGTAAGGAGGTTCGGCGATGTTGTGCTGTCCGAATGTAAATCTCACAGGCTTCGCCACGAGCGCCGGCTTGTCGAGCAAGCAGTTGTACCTATAGTATCATATTGTTGCGTAAGAACCGCATGGAGAAGCCGGCGCCGAGCAGGCGTCGTGCCGCATCAGGGTTCTCTGCTCCAGCAGCGGTCGGTCCCATGCCAGAGTCATCTCCGCACTCTCGTCAAATAGCACCTGGTAGGTGAGGGGGCAAGGGTCGCCTCACGCTCCTTTGGAGCAATGCAAGAGCAAACCACCAGGAGACGGACTAGAGCGGTGCCGACCTCTACGCCAATCGGAGCAACGACGGTGGCACCCCGTGCGTCGAGGGACTTGGCGTAAGCTGGCAAGCTTACACCGCGCGCAAAGAAGTGCTCGTCCAGGTCGGCCTGTGAACAGGCTTGTGGACATGGCGCAACCGAGGGGCCACGGATATTGGGCTGCGCTGGGAATCAGTGAGGTCCGGGGTGAGGAGCGCGCCCAGAGAACGTAGCTGTATGAGGAGAGGAGCCGGGCCATATGCCTCTGCGCAAGATATGTTCGCCAGGTCTCGCCGAAGGGGTGCGGCTCAACCGTCTGCACGTGAGTGACTCTCCATCGCAGCAGGCACTGCGTGGTGTGCTCAAACACCGGCATGTGAATCACGTGGATGTCGCTGACGGAGATGCCTGTGGCCGCGTGACACGATTGGGGAGGGGGAACTCGCGGGGCGTTGCTGGGTAGCAGTTGGCCGTCATCGGGTCATATACACGAGTATGGGGATTGAGAAAGAGATGTGGTCGCCACCGTGCCCGACGTAGTGGCGCATGAAGGCATTGCAGTGATGAGGGTGGTCGCGGGAGAGGAAGGTGATCACAGCGAGGGAGGCGTCGGCGGCGGAGGCAGCGGCGCCGTGACAGCTCGCGCCGCTGCTGACCGTGGCGTTGTCTGACATTTTACCGCGACCCAATAATTGCCGTCGAATTCCCGTTTCTTGGGTGGTTTTTGCTAAGGTGTAGATCAGGTTCCACAGCATCGTCCCACACGTAGCTCAGCGGTCAGGTGAAAAGGGGTTTTTGCTAACGGCCTCCCACACACGCCACCCACACCGGATATGTCTTGGGCATTTTTCGCACTTTTCTTTCTACGTCGGTCGGGGTCGCGTGGATCGATTTTCAAAGTGAATATAGACAATAGTACGGCATAGAAAAACTGCAAAACAAGATGCGTTAGCTCGCCGCGAAAGCAAACAGAGGAGGGCGAGGAGGAGTGATTAGCACGCGTCCTCTGCCACCGTGCGCGTGTTATGAGGTGGTGCGAGAGAGCCATTTGCGTGCGAGCCCGTGCCCCGTCCCGCCACCCGCCCGCCCCGGCCCCGGAGCGCGACAAAATGTGAAGGGTGGGCCACTTGTGTTGAGGGATGGCAACCCAGGTGGGTGTCCTCCGCCTCCAGCTCAGCCGCCGCATCGAGCTCCGCCTCATACGCGTGTGGCTGTGGGCGACGGAGCCGCCGCTGCGGCCTTCCGCCGTCGGGGCGACGGCGACGGCGGCAGCGGGCCGGGCGGCGGCGGCGACGGTGGCGGTGGTAAGGGCGGCAGCAGCGAATAAGGCGGCGGCGAGGGCGGCGGCCGCGGCGGAGGAGGCGGGCTCGGTGGGGGCGGCG